GATGCCGAGCTGATCTGGTCCTAATTCCCGCTATAGCAGATGCAAGACTAGACACTATCCTATTTTAGTTATCTTACAGTCGCTTTTCCATTGTACCCAGCAGTGCAAACGATATGCTCAAAGGTCCCACCTTCACCGAACTAAATGTTGCTCCATACTTTTGCTCCTTGTAGTATCATGCTTAATATAAATGACCGAATTGTGATATGTTATTTGAAGACCCAAGAACTTTCTCCAGAGCCTATTTGCTTGTACATTGTTGTGGTAGTCCTCTAGGTGCTTCAAGATATCACCTTACTAATAAAGAACTCGTCTACAACATTTCTGTAGGTAATTTGGCAGCTAGCATCCTTTTGTTTTTGTATGGTATCAGAACTGATATTTAGCCGCGTTCCAAAAGAAACAAACTACATTTGGATCAAGTTAATCAGTTTGATCCTAGTTGTATGGAAATTGCGAGTAGTGGTACCGGAAGGCATGGATATTCTCTTGTGGGTGCACATTTATCACATAACTTAACTGATCACAGAACTTGCATGTTGGGTGCACATTGCTCAATTCGTGTCCACGTGGTATGTTTTTGTAGCAACAAACACCTTTGACTATCTAGTTTTTGTGTGTGCAAAATACACACTTGCATCCGTCATGGCGACGCCCGCAAGCTGGTCGACAAAATGATGTGGGACAGTTGAGGATTCAAGGCCAAGTTTCACGGTGGCACGTTGAAGTTTGCTAGTATTGCTATCATGCACATCACACCCTGTGCCATCTTAGTTGCATGCAACGCTAGTCAGTGGGGCTCAACCTCTCAAGGCAGTAATGTTTATAGTGCTAGGGATGCAAATTTGGAACCTTTAGGATACACTTCGACCCTACTTAGTTCAACCAAATGAACTACAGTTTCAACAATGAAATCAATTCTGAAAATTTAGTTCATTTTGTTGAACTAAAGAGGGACGGAGGGTACCCTTAATGTTCAGAAATTGCATGCCCATACAATGTGTTGCTGTCTTCGATAACGTCCGGTACAAGTTGGCCGCTCCAAACCATGGCATTGAGTGTCAACACACTTACATCTACGGAGCGCGTCAGAAATTGTCAACGACACATGCTCCTATTCCCGCTGGCATATAATAGGGCGACATCAACGCAAAGTGGCACTCGCTGGTAGGCTGCGGTGATTTTTTTCCTTTTCACTTTTTTTAGATGAAGGTGACGATTTTTTTTCTGAGATGTTTTTTTAGATGGAGGCGAGGGCTCTATGTATTTTTTTAAATAAAAATATGCGCATAGCTTCCTTTTAAGCGGCGCCACATGATGGCGCCCCAACCACTAGTCTCTATAAATTGTAGCGTGCATTCTAGTGTCGGAGAACCTAGAGCAACTAGCATGGGCTTTTCGTTCTCGCTCGTTGAATTTAGCTAGATCATCATTTTCACTTTTCATATATGCTGTCAATAGTATCGCCTCAACTTTGACCTCTCTCCACTCTTTTTTTACCCGGAATTGACAGGAGTTATGCCTTTGCACTAAACATTATGGATTTACATGAGAAGGCAGGGGAAGAAGAAAATGAACGTAGTCACCACAAAGCATTGTCTGTACATATATCTTCGCGTTAGCCAGAGGCAACGGGTAACTAAGACAAGGAGAGCCTCCGGCGGCTCGTTGGGGATGCGCTGAGCCTTTCTATGTGGCCATTTTCCGGCGGCATCCATCCCATCCTGCTACGGTGCGGCGCCTTCGATCCAGGCGAGAAGGTAGTGGCCTTCTTTGAAGATGGAGTGTTGGATGTGCCGTGTTAGGGCCGTAGGTCCATGGTGACGGCATGCCCTGCTGGTGTCGGTCCCTCTTTCCTTCGAGCCTGTGCGATCTTGTTTCTCGTGCAACATTCTCGGTTGAGAACCTCGGCGTTTACGGCTTCATGCTCCATTGCTTATCTTCAATTGTTGTAGCGTGTGAGGCTTAGTTTGATGCTGTCCATCTTTTGTGTGTCTTCTCGTCGTGTATTTCTTTCTCTTTGCCTGTGGGCATGTGCTTGTAATCCTGACCGGTCGAGCCCCATCTCGAGCTCGGTTGATGCCTTTTCTCTAAAAAATCCGCAAATATACACATGCAAACATGTAATGCTATATGGCATTTTCGAGCCTGCAAGAAATATGTTAGTTAAACCTTTTACATGAACCCCGAGAAGTACAAGGAGCAGCGGAGAGAAGAATACGTTGCCCCGGCGATGCATGGATCAATCGGCCTCAGCATCTCTTGTTCGGCCACCAAGTCTTCTACAGCAGGGGCAGCGACTCCCTCCACAGGACTTCCTCATGTGAGATAGAGTAACTAGTATATTGGAGAAATTAGCAGAATAAACTACCGAAGAACCTGTTCTGAACTTTCGGCATCCAGGTTTCAATCGTCTACGTGATCACCTAGTATTCTTCTTCTTAAGCAGAGTTACTGTATTGTTGTTGTTGATATACTCCCTCTGTCCGAAAAAACTTGTCTCAAACTTGTCCCTCAAATGAATGTATCTACATCCATTTGAGGAACAAATTTTTTCGGACGGAGGGAGTAAATTACTGTAGCACTCTGTATATTAGCGTAACTAGCAGAATAAATTATTCAAGTATCTGTACCGAACTTTCGGCATCAGAAACTGTCTGCACAGTCCAAGCACGGAACAAATATTCCTTTAATTTTTGGCATCCAAACCAATTTGCAGCCAAGTTAACAATCTTTTTTCTTTTCTTGTTATGTAGCTGCTAATGCCCACAGTGCTAAGGATGCAAATTTGGAACCTTTAGACTACCCTCCGCCCTACTTATAGTTGAATCAAATGTACTAAAGTTTCAAAAATGATATTAGGGTCGACTCCACGGTCAAGGAGAAGCACGCCAGTGAGATCCCCTTTGTGGCGCTCATTCAAGAGAACCCACGGCTGATTCTACTAAAGTATTTTGTGGATCTGACCAAAAAGAATCCATCAACCAAGGGGAGCGAGGGCCCTTCACATAAGGAGAGTGACGACTTGGTGCCATTGAGTCCACCGACCATCATTCCCGACGACGCTTGGTCCTCCACTGTGGGGGATGTCCCCATGTGCTCCGGCTCCAGAATCACTAGTTTGACCAACAACACCTCGGAGTAGTTCACCTAGATAGTTTGACACTGATTTAGTGATATACTATGTAGCTGCTGATGTGGACTTAGATTAGCACTTGTGATGCTTTTGGTATATGAGTGAAGAATGCTGACGTGGCTTATGTATCATGTGTTATTTTTAACTTGCATTCCTTCTTGAATTTTTCTCTCTCTCTTTTTTGTAGATGAAGTTGTATGCGGTGTATAGAGGTAGGTGTCCAGAAGTCTATGATTCATGGTCCGCATGCAATGAACAAATGCTTCGTTACAAAGACAGCTCCTATGATTCCTTCAATAGTAGGGAGGAGCAGAGAATGATTACAATCAGTATGTGCTCGATCAGAAGAGACGTCATGAATTAGGCAATGGTGTAGGCCAGCTTATCGGGCTGAGTGGATTGAAAAATTTGATAATCTTCTTTCAATTTTCCTAATCGTGGTGTTGTTTTTATCATGTGGTTGTATGTAGACATACTTTGTGACTTCATATGAAGCTTGTGTGAAGCATACATAATGAGTTTGTCGTTATGTGTCTGTGATCCTTATATAGGATACAAAGTTCTCTAAGTTGATATTCTTGTTATATCTGTTTTTGTTGTAGGGTTACATGAAAAAGATGCAAAAACAATGTTGACAGTGCAACTTTGCCGAGAGCTACACTCGGCAAAACAATCTTTTCCTAGAAAGACGCTTGGCAGAAGGGACACGTGGCACATGTTGGCAGTTTGGTTGCTGGAGCTGCTTGTTTCAGTTAAGCCGAGTGTAGGCTCGCGGCAATGTGCATGATTTTGACGAGTGGTGCTCTCGGCAAAGACTTGACGGAATTTTGGGAAACTTTTTGTCTGCCTGAGAGGTGTACGTTGGGTACTCTTTGCCGAGCTGCAAAGACTTTGCCGAGTGTTCCTGGCACGCGGCGTAGGGTGATATTCCAGTAGTTCATGTGGCGGTTTATCTATTTTCCTTGTTTGTTTTACAATTTCTTGTATTATTTACTGTTATTGTTATTATTTGATTTTAGCTTTTTAATTTCTTCTCTTATTTGGGATCAGGGTTGGGGAGCAAGAGAGGAATACCTGAACCTTTTTGAATGTATATATGAATAAACGAACTTGCTGGTTCGGCCCAACTGACCAAGCGATGACCCCGATCTCTCTCTCCCTCGCATCGCACACCTTCTTTCTTGACTCCAATACATGCTGGTAGCCTAGTGTGGGATGATCTGTTCGCCGCGTGCTACCACGATATAAAACTTAGCAAAACGTTTAAAAAAAATCTGAAACCTTGTGGATGTGATTTTGTCCAAATGTTTTAGGTGCTTGCAAAATTTGGTGGTGAAATGACATCCGAGGAGCTCTGTACAAAAAAAAAGGTTTATGGTGAAAACATGTGAACAACAACATGGGTGCAGAGCATCATTTGTATTTCGTTTTGTATGGGGATCATTTGATGTTTTTTGATTACCAAACTTTACAAGCTCCTAACATTTTTTCATAATCACATCCAAGAAGTTTTAGAATTTTTTTTCTATTTTTTCTGAATTTACTGTTCACTTCGTGGGTGCATCGAAGGTGGGTGCAGCTGAATATATAATCCAGCTGAACATTTTCCATTTTTTTTGAAAATGAATGAGCTATCTAAATAAAATGAGGAGATTTAAAAATCTGAATATATTTTTTGTGCACATAGCTGATTCGGCCCAACTGGCCCAACAATGTTGCTGTGAAGAAGGAGCGGGCGTCTCTCGTTGCGTCGCGCCGCCGCACCTCCTTCCTTGACCCTCTCGCTGACTCCAATACATCTGCTTTGTAAATTCAGAAACTCAGATTTCACTGTCAAGGAGATTGGGAGATTGGGAGAGGAATCATGAACCGCCGGTTCGTGAATCTGCTGGTGGATAAGTTTAGCGCGCCCCGACCCGCCATCAAGCTGCACCGCATCGACCCCGCGACCTTGTTCTACCCCACGGGATCACCAAAACCAGCAGATCCTGTAGCAGGTCCGGCTCCAGGGAGGCTGCCTCCAGCCGCCATGTCCTTCGACCGGCCATGTGAGCGGCACCACACAGGGTGGATCGATTTCATGGCCTTCAAGAAGAGCATCGTCGTCGCCGTGGACAACAAGGGCCGCACCCTCCTCTACGACAGCGCCGCTCGGGCCGTCCGCGCCGTGAACCTGATGCAGCCCCCTCTTGACTCGCCCCGCGTGTTCGTGGGCATGGGCGACCGCCTGTACGTCATGGAGATCGAGGATGGCCTGCCGTCCCGGCTTCGGTGGTTCCATGCCCTCATCTACGGCCCCCCGCCCGATTTCCTCGGCCAGCACGATTGGTATTGGCGCCCTTTCGACCTGCCCACCTTTGATCACCCCGACGCTGATCGCGACTCGGATAGTGATTACATGTTTTCTGATTACGACTCCGATGGTGATTACAAAGATGCTAAGGATCACTCAGAGTCAGAGTACAAGGAGACGCCGTCGCCACACCCCTGTGCTATCTGTGCCTTCACGGTGGTAGGCGACTCGCAGATCTGGGCGTCCACGGTGGCCGCTGGCACGTACTCATTTGACACTGTGAGCAGCGAGTGGAGCAAGGTCGGCGCGTGGGTGTTGCCATTCAGAGGCCGCGCCGTGTATGTTCCTGAGTACAAGCTCTGGTTTGGCTTCTCGGACGAGGACGACAGGCTCTGCGCGGCCGACCTCACTTTGACACAGCCGGTGCTGGAGAAGGTGTGGGAAGAAGACCCACCTCCGCTCGAGGCGTGTTCCGTGACAGCGTCCCACCTCCTGCCTTTGGGCTCCGGCAGGTTATGTGTGGTCAGGATGTTCGTGAAGACTGAAGAGATGGGGAGCTTTGCAGTGATGTCCGGCGTCGAGGTTTTGAGGGATGGCGGCTCCGGGAGCCTCCGAATGATCAAGCACAAGTGCAGACGTTACAACTTCGGAGAAAGAGGTGTCGTCAAACTAATCTAATCCTGATTTCTAATTTCGACAAGAGACTATCCTGTTTTATCCTGCAAACAAATCAGTTTCCACTTTAGTAATGATGATCACGTCCTACTGCGTGTGCTATGCTGTGGTGCTGGTGCGGATCGGAATGAGACTATCTACGTGAGTCACGGTTGCTAGTTCAAGGGACTGCAATAAAATACTACTGGGTGAGAACGCGTCTTGCAGCAAAAAACACGCTACTGGTGGTTCGATCTACTGGGCGAGCTAAGAGCATCTTCACTCGCCCCCGCCCTCCCCCCAACATCCCCCCGGGCTCTTTTTTTTTAGCGTCGGCACCGAAAAATCGGCCAGATTATGCCCCCAGGACCTTGTTTATCGCCAGTTTGGGCCGAAATAACAGCCGGCGAACCCGAGCCGAACCCAAGCCCCCGGGGGTCGCCTGGGGCGCCGGCCGAAGCAAAAAGGCGTGTGGGTCCACTCTGTCGGCGAGAGACAACCCTTTTCCTGCCTATCCCCCGCTTTTCCCCTTCATTTCCCTCCATTTCCCCCCTTGTGCCCCTCTTCTCCCGCCATTCTCCTCCCTCTCCCCGCCATCCGGCCGCCATCCCGCCATGCCGCCGAAGAAGTATTCGGCCCCTCGCACTGCTGCCGTTGCCGATGCCACCCAGCCGAAGCAGAGGAAGCCGAAAGCGCCGCCGGCAAAACCACCGAGCATATCGAACGCCGACTGGAAGGCCGAGGTTCAGTGCCGGGAGGTTGTCACCACCGACCGGCGGAACAGGCACAACGCCAAAAAGGCCCGGGACGCGTCGGCGGCGGCGGAGCAGGCAGAGGCGTCTCGCGCGGGGATGATGAATCCACCAGGCGGGCACGACCCGCAAGCTGCCTGGAGCCAGCATAGCGTCAGGTCGTCGGCCAGCTTCTCACCGTCGCCACAACCCCGGGGGTACGCACCATAGCCTGGCTACGCCCATAGTGACGCGCATGGCGGATTCAACCCCAATATCACCTTTTTGCATGGCCAGCGCGCCTCACCCTCCGATCTGAACCCCGACCAGCGCACGCCCTCGCCTGCGTTCGCTGGCGTCCAGTACCCCCTGTACACCTACTCACCGCTGGCGTACGCCGCCTTTGCGCCGTGGCGCCCTGCACTTCTCGCAAGCCTCGTCGTCGCGTTTCGGCAACCCCGACGCGACGGAAGCCGACATGGACGAGATCATCACGAGCGTCTCGGTCGCCGCCGCCACCTCCCCCGGGTTCCAGGCGCAAGACGATACAATGGAACCCGCCGGTGACATGGACGACAAGCTCGACTACGGTGAGGAGGAGGAGGAGGAGCCGGCGCCTGCACCGACGAGGAAAGGCAAAAAGAAGAAGCGAGGGGGGCGGGGGGGTAGGACGGGCGAGCCGCGCGTCAACTGGATGTCCAAAGAAGACGAGTGCCTCGCCGAAGCATGGAAGACCGTCTGCCTCGACCGGATCACCGGCACGAACCAAAACACCGACACGTATAGGAAGCGCATCAAGTCGGAGTTCGATGAGCGCAAGCTGGTCGACCCCTACCTCGCCACCATCCACATGCAGCGCGGCTCGAAGGCCATGTCGAACCATTGGGCGATCATCCAAATGGCCTGCAACAAATGGCATGGGATCGTTGAGGAGATCGTGGCTCACCCAGAAAGCGGTGCCAACGTCGAGGGTCAGGTATGCATAGACACCGGCTCTCACTTCTTTTCGCCGTGTACGTCGCCGACACTTGTTCTTCGACGCATTCGGATGTTCACCATGTACCGCCAGGACAGCAGCACCGACCAAGAGTTCAAGTACCTCCACGTGTTCTCTCGGATTGAGAAGTGCGAGAAGTGGGCGGATGTCCGACGCACCCTCGCCAAGGCCAAGAAGACGTACAAACCAGACGCGCCCACGCCGGGGGTGGCGGATGGGCACCCTGATGGCAACAAATGAGCCAAGACGACGAAGGACACCGCACTGGCTACCGAGCGGCTGCACGCGTCCATCGAGCAGTGCATCGCCGCTGACGCCAAGAACCACGCGCCAAGAGGGAAGAGAAATCAGAGGCGCGGTGGTTGGCGTTGATGACGAACAGCGTCGTCAAACTCGACCTACTCCGGACCAACGTTGCCGCGAAGAAGAGGAACACCGACCTGGCATTCCTGATGGGGGGCGGACATGTCGACGATGGACGAGTAGGTCAAGGTGTGGTACCTGGTGGAGCGCGGCCTCATCTTGAACCAGATGCCTTCGATGACCGTGCCAACTCCCACGCCGACCCCAACACCGCCACCAAGCCTGAGTGATGATGCCTCCACGACGCCCAGCACAGAAGTCGCGCAGACGCCGACCAACCCGAGCACGCTGACTCCCGCCAGTCCGACGCTGGAGGAGCACGCCGCCGTTTGATGCATTGCCTACGCGTCCTTTTGAACGCCGAACTTTCGAGTATGATTGATCGCCAAACTGTGGCATGGTGATTGCCGAACTTTGTGGAAGCCGTTGATCGCCGAAGTTGTGGCATTCTTTTGGGTGCGTGAAAATGTCAAATTTTAATTTATACGCGTCTTGGGGCCAAAACCTGGGGGCGTGGCTGGGAATTGGATCGCCCCCATGGCCAAAAAAGCGCTGGCCGAAGGGCCAAACCATAATCGCCGGGTGCGCTGGGTGGGGGGACGTGTGGAGATGCTCTAACATTAGGAAAGGAAATGGTGTCGCGATGGGGTGATTATCATTGACATGCTGCTTATATGAGGAAGAACCAGGGAGAATAGATTCATGGAATCCTGGGTTTTCGTTGCTAAGTGCTGATGGAACTAAACAAAGGTTCCTGGTTTCTCTTACAAAATACTAGTATGATATACGTAAGGCATAACCTGTACCATCATATATACTAGAACATGAGCAATAGCAAAACATTAGCACATATTGAAGCTTGCACCAATGTCGGTACCTGCCAATCAACGTATGTCCTTCCATTGTCCAAGTACCAAAATGGCATGCCACCATGCATCGATGAGAGCCATCAATTGTAAGGACACAAGATAGATAAGAAGTAAATGGAGGATTTTTAGATAATGGAAGAGATCACACTCATGCATGATACGGCTCTATAAATTATAGTGTGCGTGCTAGTTTCTGAAAAACTAGAGAAACTCGCAAAAGGCTTTTCCTTCTCGCTGATGCATGGCATGAAATTGAGCCGAAACTTCGCTGAACTTAGCAACTAGATCATATTCGTTTTCCGTATGTCAGCAATAGCATGGCCTCGGTTTTGATCCCTCCATTTATTTTGGAGTTAGATAGCTAGGCTTGGGAGGCAACAAAGAACTTGAACCTGCTAGTATGTTGGTTGCTTTGGAACAAATTCAGCAACATAGTGCTTTATGAGATACTCAAACCTACGAGCAGTATGTCAGTCAATTTTTTTTTGCATGAACCTCAAGAACTAGAGGGAGCAGCGGGCAGAAGAATACATTATCTCTTGGTGCTGAATGCATGTCGCGGACCGACAAAGTCAGCTATTTTAGCTTTAAAACTAACACTAATTTGTACTATGATGTTGCCCATGAGCAGTGACGGCGGTAGGATGTGACTGAGCCCCGGGCAGCCCCAGGCTGCCTGTGTACACTATGGCTACAATGTGTACTACGGTGTACAAAGGGAGCTGCCCTCACGCCCCATGAAGCAGCCCGGGCTGCCTGGGGCCTATCTCCGCCACTACCCGTGAGCCTGCCCCACTTGCATCCTTAGCTGTGAGAATGCAGGCCTTGAGAGTGCATGGATGGCGATTCAAGGGAGATGCCTTCTATGCAGGTATAACATATAAAAATATAAGATTATTTGCACTGGATTTTTGTAGCGCTCGATTTACTCGCATTGTGGATGGAGGTTTGATGTGTGGGTCATGGATTTAGACTGCACGTCCATGTCATGCACATAATGTTATCTCACGTTGGCAGATCCATATATTTGTAAACCATACTGATATCGATAGGGATTTCTACAAACTGTATATGTCCATATACTTATGGTATGCAAGATCAACTTTTTGGCGATGGATTAAGGACATATATTGTTGGTTAAGATGTCCTCGAACTATTTAAGAAATTCATGCATAAATTAATTAAAATGTTTGGTATGAGAAAGTGATCCATGTTCTTCCACTTGTGATGTGAATCATAATATTGTCGGCTTTTTCTGTATCTGAATCTGAATAGCATGCTTCTATAGCCCCGGATGCCACTAGGAGCTTCTTTTTAGATGAACTACTTTCACAACTTTGGAAAGTGTCCTTCTGTTCGCGAGCTCATATGCACCCTCATTGAATAGTAAGTTTAAAAAATAGTTAAAAATAAAAAAAAGTGTTTTTAACTATTTTTCAATTTTACTGTTCATGAGGGAGCATGTGATCTCGCGAGCAGAAACTTCATTTCCCACAACTTTTTGCATTTAGTAAGTTACTCATATTCATAGCTCCATAAGTACTTAATGGTTTAACCTCTATGGTTAAGGTACACTTCATGACTAATATGTTAGTGGTTGCGAATTTGTTATGACACTAGGATGGTTATTGATTCTAAACAAGGAAATCCCAATTTCAGTGCATACTGCATAGTACACCCCTAGTTTAGAAAACCAAACCGAAAATCAAACTGGAAAGGTTGTCTGCTCAGGTTTTTGCCAGTCGGACCGCCGGTTCACTGGTTCGATTTGTCGGTTCTTTAAGCAATAAAATAATATATGTTGACTAATATATGTGCTAATATAGTGTGAAACAATAGGTCAAATATAATTATTTTCATGTAGTGTACAACAAAGTAGCACAACCGAGTTGGTTTATGGGCCGTGGGCTGGCCCGTGTACTACTCACACGACCGGTTTCTATTAAAAACATTTTCCCTTGGTTTTTCCCGGTTTAATGGCCCGATTTTTTCACCGGTTTTCTAGAAAATCGGCCGTTTTGACTGGTTTTCTCTGGTCTGATTGCAGAACAGTCTTATTAGCTT